ATTTGAGGTCGTAAGAAACTGCTAAGTCTTCAAGATCGTTTGAAGCAAACAGAGCTGGCGATGAGTCGGATTCTCGAACAACTTGGTTCGATATCAACAGATGCAACCGCTCAAGGGATAGTCGACACCAGTGCAAAAGAAAATCAAACTGATCAGACGACCGATACGAACGCTACTACTGATGCTGTTGATAATAAACACGATAAAGTGAATGTCAATGACGATACTGCCTCATCTAATGATAAGGAACAGTATTTACGTGATCTTGAAAAGGTTTCTCACTCAACAATGTCGTTCTCATTAACATTACGTCACATCGATTACAATCATTGAGAGCACTATTCCTATGAGTGCACTTCAGTCAGATTCTTATCGTTTCACTGATTCACTTAATATAATTACGTCTCGTTTAAGGACTACTGATGAATCAGAGAATTTTTATTTGGCACTATTAGCTGATTGTTTTTGAGAATATAAAGCAAAATACGGAAAGGCTAAAAGATTCGTGTGAACAAAATTAATTTCAGTTTTCATTGGAATGAATTATTTTAATGATTCAGGCTCTTCGGGAATTTCGATACCTATCGAAGGCATATAATAAGAAGGAACGAAGACGACGAGGCAACGACGTGAACGACGACGAGGAGGAGGAGGACGACGACGATGACGAAGAGGAAGAAGATGAGGTAGATGAGGAGATTGAGGAGGATGAAGGAATCGATGAGAGAGCAGCTGATGATAATGATTCTGGTACGGTGAGTGCCTCGAAGGATGACGTTCAAGAGAATTTAGATGACAGCAAAAAAGCACATGAAAACCAGAGGTACAGTGATAAAAATGAAACCAAAAATACCAATGAGAACAATGCGTCAACGCCCGAATTCAAAGGCAAAAGAACGAAACCATATAAGCGATCAAAACGAACATAATTTCTTATGTTCTCATGATATTTTCTCGTTGTTGTGAAATCGTTCGCAGCACAAGAAATCAACCGTCAACCCTCCTCAATAATACCCTATAGACTCAATCCTGCCGCTACTGCCATCAAAATTTCAAGGAACATTTTTTATTTTCAAATAGGATTTCACGTTTCGTTTCGGAAAGTTTCAAAAATCGTTGAATTTCTCAATTTTTTTTTTGCAACTAACTTAACACGCATCGATGGAAATCCATTTGAAGATATGATTTAATGTGTCCATCCGTCCGTCCGGCTTGATGTTTATTGCCATCG